AGCTCTTGAGTGTATCATGACATCTCTAAGGGGACCCTAGGAACCATGTAGCAATGGGCTTCCCTTGCTCCAGCCATGGCCCTCGTATGTACTATCCAAGGTAGAGGCTGCGTTCCCCCTGCCAGCAGCTAATTGACTGTTGTCCATTCTTCACTCCATTCAAGTAAGGTCCTGAATGATTGAGAGAAGTATATTGATAACTTTGGCAGTGTCCTTAGAGACCTTCTAGCCCATCCCTTCATTTTTCAGAGGAGGAAACTGAGGCCCAGAGAAGGGAAGAGACAGCTTACTCACTAAGTTAGGAGAAAAAGAAGAGTGGAATTGGGTGTTGGGAGGCCTGAGTCTGAAAATACTGTGTGACACTGAGCAAACCATTTAAACCTCTTGAGTCTTAGTTTCCCCACCAAAAAATAGGAATGAGAATACTCATACTGTACACTGACTGCCTCATGGTGTTGTCCTCAGGAAAGTGCTTTGTAAACTTTATAGTGCTATAAAAATGAGAACTATTATAATTTCAACTCAGGACTCCAGACTTATGATTGTTTCCTTCCTTCAAATGCTATACTTTATCCCTACTCTGTCTCCCTCGTAAGGAAATTGGTTTCTCTCTCAGTCTTTTGCTATTAATTGCTCTGGCTTTTTCCTCTTCTGTCAATATTTCTTTTTTTCCTCCAGGTCAAACTTCCTGTTTATAGCAATTTCTTTCTCTGAGTCAATATCTCTGCCTCTAACAATCTCTCTCATCCTTTCCCCATTTGCTTGGGTCTCGTCTTCTCTTCTCTTCTCTTCTCTTCTCTTCTCTTCTCTTCTCTTCTCTTCTCTTCTCTTCTCTTCTCTTCTCTTCTCTTCTCTTCTCTTCTCTTCTTTCTCTATCTGTCTGTCTGTCTCTGTCTGTTTCTGTCTGTTTATCTCTGTCTCTCTCTCCACCCTCCTTCCCCCCTTTCTCTTGCAAATAGTCATACTTATTGAAAATGAGTAGTCTTTTCCTATCATATGTCCCCCTCCCCAACCCCATCCATGGATCAGGAAATAGGTGGTCAGTTGCTGATAGCAGCTCAGAACACACTAAGCAGCTTTTGGGTACTAATTCATGAAGTCCATTCCTCATCCATGTTATGTTGTTTAATAGGGACATAAACTTGGATGGAGGATGGGTTGGGTTAGAGTCACTATCTACAAAGATGAGGTTAGCTCTGCTCTTAAAGTAGATTCATTGGTAGGTGTATTGAAAGGATTATGTTGCTGACTTCTACCAGTCCCTAAGGGCAAAGTAAAATGTCTACCTGGATAGTCTCTCTATCTAAGCCTCTTCCTCAATGGGGAGAATATAGTACCATAGATTTTAACATTATAGGTCCAGTTTGTTTTAGAAAGTATTTTTATACATTTCTTTTATAGATGTTCTCTCCCTTGCAATACATTATTTAATGAATACATCATTGGTCAGTTACCTAATTACCCATTTACATTACATTTTTTGAAAGCTTATTCAAATACTGCCATTTCAAGTTTTAATTCCTCTATGTAGTTTTTCCTGACCTCTCTAGCTCATTTTGCAGATGTCTCCTTCCTCTGAACCCCTCAAGAAATTGGAATTGTGAATTTGACTCCCTGCATCACTACTGAGGGTATTGTTACCTATAAACGTGATCTGTATTGTTAGGTATGTGCAAGACCTATTTTTTCAGTTAGTCTGTAAACACCTGAATAAGCCTTTCAAGTCTGGCATGGCCTTATTGCACTGTCCATCTAAAAGTTCTTCAGCCTAAGCAGGTGAAACTTCTCTGGGAAGGAAATAAAAATGCACCCAGTCATGTAATCAGCTTTTCTAATCCATTTATACTTCCAAGTAGAAAGGTCAGCTTAAGGAAGAGAAGCACAAAGTCTGATTTAAAGACATTTTTACTACTTTGATTGCTGGGAAATAAGACAACCATACTCAATAAATGACCCAAACATCTCTATACTGAAGTAAACAGAAGAACAAAAATTTATAATGGGTTGAATGAGAATTTATAATACGGTAGGAAGAGTATCACGCTAGATTATGTGTCCTGGGGGTATAATCCTGGATCTACCACTAAATGTTGTATTGTCCCCTGATTCCTAGTTTCTCTATTTATAACATTATCTAGTTGGATTTTTAAGATTGCTTCCTACCCTAACATTCCATGTTCTAAAGTTCCTTTCATCTGTAACATTCTATATTCAAAGTTCCTTTCCAGCTCTAAAATTCTGCATTCTAGCATTCCTTCCAGTTTCAACACTCCATGGTCTTATATTGTATTTTCTTTTAGCTCTAACTTTCTAAGGTTCCTACCAACTTAGGCTCTATGCTAAGAATGTTTTTCAGAATTATATTTGGCTATATATTCCATGATTACTCTCCATTTTCCTCTCTGATTTTACTAGTTGGGCTTTGTATCTATATATCTATAAATGTACATATATATGTGTATGTGTGTATGTATTATACACACACACACACACACACACACACACACATACATATAGTGGCAATGGCTTAGGAATGAAGCCACACTAGGACATTTGAGGGCATTGTCCCATTTGGATACATATATTCCCAGCTAAAATTTCTCTCTCAACAACTGCCTGGTTATTTACATTGTTATTGTGATATAACATCTGGGCCCACTAGTAAAATATTACTGCCTATGATATTGCATATAATCTATGAAAAAACAGCTACTTAAGGACTGCTTCAATTTTCTTGCTATGGCCATTGATGTATGAGAATAGATATTAATTATTTCACAATTGATCAATAACCTATTTAATTAGAATATTTTGAAATCTTCAATACAGAGAGCTGCAAAGTAAAAAATAATGTGTCATTTCCTCACAGATTGGAATCTAACTTTATTTGGGATTGGCTACCACCTTTAACCAAGCCAGATACATTAAAATTAATAATTGGAATGAGTTTTTCCATCGATCTTGGGCTCCTGACTCTCAAAAACTGACAATGAGGTTTGGCCACAGGCAGTTGATTTTTAAGAAACTTTCAGTCCTTTGTCCTGAATGGCAATGGACTGTCTGGCCACTTGTGTATCATGTTCTGCTCAGGAAAACTAGAACATTTCATAAACCCCAGAATTACCTTAATAGCATTCTAAAATAACGAGCTATGAAGCACTTTACGATGACCATGCTGTGGTTTGCTTTGATTTTAGTTTTATCAATACTAATGAATAGTACTTTGGAAGATTCCTTTACAAGAATCATGCTTTGGATTCATAGCTTGTAACTTTTTCCTTCTGGCTTTTCCTCTGTTGTTAATAATACTTGGCCCCCACTTTAGTGGTTAGTGCCCTCCCCCCAAATCATTTTTGTAGATAGCAATATGCATACATGCTATCTTTCCCTACTAGACTGTATACTTCTCTAGAACAAGGACTGTTTAACTTCTACTTCTGTTATTTCACTTACTAGTGCAATGTGTTCTGATACTTATTAAATGCTTGTGGATTTTGTAATTCCATAATAATAGAAGTTGTGGTGGGAATAGTAGATCACAATTATGTAGTATCCTAGGGTTAACAAAGCCCTTTCCTCAAAGTCCTGTGAGGTAAGTAAGGCAAATATTTCTTCTCCCTAAAGGGGATTTCTCTTTAAATATGCATAGGACTCGATGACCCTTAAGGTCTTTTCTCATTTTGAGAGTCTGTGATTCCTATTTTATAGATGAGAAGACTGAGGCTCCAAGAGACTAAATACTTTGTCTGTGCTTACCTAGATGCTAAATGTAGGAGCCTCAGTGCCTTTGACTGAAATGAAATCAAAAGAGCTCTGTATTTAGAATCAAGAGATCCTTGTTATAATCCTGACTTTCACATGAATAAGTGATTTGACCTCGGGCAAGTTACTTTTAGTACTGACCCTCAGTTTCCTAATTTGTAAAATGAGGAGATTGAACCAGGTAATCTTTAAAGTCTTTTTTTCCAGGCTGAATGTTTTGAGATTTGAACGTTCCATATTTTAATAATTTTTCTGACTCTAACATTCTCTGTTCTAAGTAGAGGGAAACTGAGATCATTATGTCAAGGTCGTTTGAGCCCTCAAATTGCATAGTACTACAAGTACATAGTACAACTTCCACTGCTGCCATTGATAATTGTCATGTTTTGAGGAAGTCTTGAGGGAACATTCCATCTACTTTGTTGTTAAGAAGCACTTTTTTGGGGGAGAGGGATGGGTGTGGTGGGGAGGATGGGGGAGCTTTCAAGGATGGACCTCAAAGTGAGCCTTCCAGATAGCCCTTCTCACATTAGGACAGTCCAACACTGAAACGTTCATGTAAAGCTTTTTGTCCACCTCAAGTCCCAGGGGTGTCTTTGCCTGTCTTCCCTATCAATGTGACCATGGGCATCTTACTTCTCTGTCTTGCAGGTTCCTATCAATAAAATAGGGGGAAAAACCCCAGTATCTGCACTGACTCTCTGTTCACAGAGTTATTGTGAAGAAAATACCTTAACATGACAGAGAAATGGGAGTCATTAGCATTCTTGGCTTACCTTCTTAGAGAGGAATCAACTTTTGAATTTAACATTTGGAACATTTAACTGGGACTTATTCTGAACTTGAGGGCCAAGTCTTTGGAACAGAAGACAAGTGTATGATTATGATATCGTGTTGACTACACTCAAGCTTCCTGCCATGATATGAGTTCTATGTCGGGACCTTTTTTTTTTTTAAAGCTGCCTTACAACCTGACTTCCACCATGCACTTCTTGTTGTCTGTGGGCTTCTCTCCCCTAACTCTCTGAAACATTTGAGGAACTACCCGAAAAAATGTGCCTCTGCCAAACAAGTGATTTAGCCCGAATCTGGTTCCTCTTTTCTCTCTGAGTTGTTACTGTTTATCTCAAGTAATTTATTGGGTTTTTCAAAGAATACCTCCAGGAAGAACAAAGCAAAACAAAACAAAACAAAACAAAAGTTAAGACAGGAAGGGGGAGAGGATGCCATTGACTTACCTTCTTCTGAACTACTAAGACCATTATAGTCGCCAGAGTAAAGATGAGACACAGAACCAGGGTAGCTGTGGTGAAATAAAAATAAGTCCGGCTAGTGGCCCTGAGGTGGCTTGTGACTGTGCCTTCAGACACATTCATGGCTGCCCCAAGAGAAGCATTCAGTTGGTGGAGGGACGTTTGCTGTGGTACAGAAGACATTCTTTATATACCACCCCCCTCCACCTCACACCTTATCGCCCTTGATCTGTTGAGACTCACAGGCCATCTCTGTTCCAAGTAGGATTTTCCCCCTTCATCCTGGATCATGTGACCTGGAAAAAAAATCTTCACTGTTTGTCGGATGAAGAAAGACCTCTCTGGGGGCGTGAAGTGAAAGGCAGCAGGCGATGGGAGAAAGAGATTCATTTTCTTGCCAAGGATTTTGTTGCTGGTCGTCTGGTGAGCTACATCGAAGGGGTCTGATGTCAGAAGGCGAGTGGGAAGCAATCTCACCCCCGGCTCTCTTTGTGTGTGAAGTTGTGTGGAGTGACTTGTGTTTCACTTATAGTCACCGGTGGTGGCAGCTTAGTGCTTCAGCTAGTGCTTTCTTCTTCCAGAGAGTCATTTCTGCACGGTGTTCTCCACTTAAAAGAGTCACCTACCCAGAAAGCCCACATCTGTTTGGGGGTCAGGAAGGCTGGATTTCACAGTAGAAAGGCTCCTGGGAAAGTTATTTCCCCTCACTGGGTCTCAGTTTCCTAATCTGTAAAATGATGGGGTAGAATGAGATGGTCTCTAAGATTCTTTTTATACACACACACACACACACACACATATAGTTATCCTATAACTTAAATGAATTAGTTTTACTAATATTATTGCTGTGGTTAAAAATGGGCTCTCTCTTTCCCCTCCCTATATCTATCTGTCTATCTATATTTATGTATATATAGCTATAAGTATATATGTATATAGTTTTCTATCTTGATGTATATGGCTATAACTATGTATCTCTATGTATATAGCTGTCTGTCTCTATTTCTGTCTTTGTGGGATGTCTCTCTTGAAAGGCAGATTGGAATATTGGGAGTCTTGTATCTGGAGTAAGAGGACCTGGGTTTTAATTCCACCTCTGTTACTTTAGTATCCTGGGTAAATCACTGAACCTCTCTGAGCCTCAGTATCCTCAGCTGAAAAAAGAGACGGGTTGACTCAATATTCTCTAAGGTCCCTTTCAGTTTCAAATCTATAAAATGAATAGACAAAATCCTTCTGAGACTTTTGGAAAGATAGGAAGGGGTATCCTGTGTACAAGGTTACTGGACTGAGTCAGAAGACATGAGTTCTAGGTCTGGTTCAGTCACTAATTCACTATGAATCAATCCCTTTTCTTCTCTGGGACTTAGTTTCTTTACGAGGGGATTAGAATAAGTGATATCTCAGATCCATTCTGATTCTGAAGTTCTTTGAAAGAATTCTAAAAAAATATCTTGGGGTTAAATATACTGTTCTAGAATAATGTCTCAACAAGTACTATTGAACAATAAAACTTACTGACTGAAAAATCACGTGAACAATTTATCTGGAGTTATTGAGTCTGCTATCAGCCAAATTAAGCAGCAGTACCTTTATATTTTCTATACTAAACAAGGCCTATGGGTACCATTTGGTGCTTGCCATACTGAGATGCCAAAGGAATGACATGATTGGAAAAGAAGGCCACATATGATCTAATCATCTATTTTACCTACATGGAAAACATCTATCTAGGTCCCAAGTTTTAACGATTAATGTGCTTTCACTATATAATACAGAAACAGCCCAAATAACTTACTGGGTGAAGCATGATTTCCTCAGCTATAATGCAGGGGTTATTAGCCTTTTTTGTGTACTGGATCTCCCTCTTTAGCAGTCTGGTGAAGCTTATGGACTCCTTTTCAGAATAATGTTTTCAAATATGTAAAACAAATTATATAGGATTACAAAGGAAACCAGTTATATTGAAATATATTTGTCAAACATTAAAAAAAACAACCTAAATTCATGGACCTCAGGTTAAGAACACCTAATAACTTAAATGGACATGACTGTTGAATGCTTCATGGAAAACATACCTCTACCTACCTTAGACTGTTCTAGAAACTTATTGCTTGTATTCCTTTTTCTTTACTGATGTGGACAAAAAGGGTTACTTGACACATTCATTATACTATCAAAATACTTTGAAAATAAACTGCAACAGTTAAAGTGGCATTATTTGAGCTTTGGAATTACATTTCTCACATTTCATTGCCAAGATTCAAATGTACGTGGAATATTTTTTTTTCTGGAATTAGGTTTTAGGTCAGGTGGACATCAGGCTTATCCAGGGCAGATTTGGACAGTTGCTTTGGGATTTTATCTGAACCATTCAGCTGAGACTCTTTGAATTTTTCTATTCCTAGAATTGCATTTAGAATTAGAATTCTTGTCTGGTAGTTGGTTTCAAATGTGGCTTAGTGGTATTTTGTCCCTTTATTGTCCCCTCCTCATTCTACTTCCAGGTGATTTTGTCTGGAGAATGGCTGAGGGTGCCATGGCTTTCCCAGGGTCTACCCAGAGGCTGAAGCCCAACTTAGATAATAGTTCACTATTCCTTTACTTTAATTTTGGACTGGACCTGCAATTCCCTTGGGGTAAGGAGCTCCAGTGAGGAACTCACTCTTTTTAGACAGACCCTTTCTCTACAACTTACAGTCTTAGAGAGGCATCTACAGGCAATGAGAGGTTAAGTGACTTGCTCAGGGTCAGAGGGTCATGTGTCAGAGGCTGAACTTTTTATCTGGGCCTTTTTGAGGTGGAGGTGGGCGTTCCATGATGCCATGCTGACTCTCACATTTCTATAGCACTTTAAAATATAGAGAGTATTGGGACAGCTAGGTGGTATAATAGGTATAGCACTGGCCCAAAGTCAGGATGATTTGAGTTCAAATCAGAGCCTCAGACACTTACTAGCTGTGTGACCCTGGGGAAGACACTTAACTAGCTGTATGACCCTGGGCAAGTCACTTAACCCCAATTGCCTCCAAATTAAAATGATATATATCTATATCTATGTAGATATAGATATACATACATATATAACATAAATATCTATACATATATATACACACACATATACAGAGAGAGAAAGAGAGAGAGCATCTTCTTTTTGATAGCCCTATGAAGTCCAGAGAGCAAATATTCTTATGTCTCTTTCAGGGATAGAGAAACAGAGTCTCAGCGTCATCCACAGGCTTTGCCATGACTAACAAGAATAACAGCACACACATACAATGTTTAAGTTTGGCAAAACACTTTCTTCACAACAACCCTACAAGGTAAATATTAGAAGCGTTGTTATTATTTTCATTTTATAGTTAAAGAAACTGAGGCTCAATATAAGTGACATGACCAATGTTTGACAAATAGGAAGTGTTAGACCCAGGATTTGAACCCAGGCCTCTCCTGATTCTAGGCCTACCCCTCTTTCCAGGATAGCATGGTTCTTCAGCCAGCTGGTGTCAGAACTGGAACTTGAGGCCAAGGGTTCTGACTGTAAGGCAAATACTCTTTCCAGTATAATGCCTTTCCTCTCTTTAGAAAGAAAGAGATTAGCTCAGTCTCTCAGGACTGAGTCTTTCCATGTCCTTGATTCTTTGCTCCTCATGCAAATGCTTCATTCTGGAGCTCTATCATTTAGCTTGCATTGTTCTCTGTATTAGGAATATCCTTCCTTTTCCTCTTTATCTCGTGAATTTGTTCCTCACTTGTTTAGGATAACTCTGGGGCAGTTAGGAGGTGCAATGGATAGAGTGCTGGGCCCAGAGTCAGGAAGACTCATCTTTCTGAGTTCAAATATGGCCTCAGACACTTACTAGCTGTGTGACCCTGGGGAAGTCACTTAACCTTGTTGGCCTTAGTTTCCTTATCTGTAAAATGAATTGGCAAGCCATTGCAGAATCTTTGCCATGAAAACTCCGAACGGGGTCACTGAGAGTTGGACATGACTGAAATGAGTGAAGAAAAAATAATAAGAGGATAACTGAAATGCCACATCCTTCATGAAGCTTACTCTGATTCCCCTCCTCTGTCATGACCATTCCCCCAAAATCTCACACAGTACCTTGTACCTCTCTTGGGCCTGTTCCCTCCAATTGTTTGTATGATAGTTGTCTATGCATGCATCTTATCTCCTTTCTATGCTGTAGAATTCATAAAGTCAGAATAATGAATACATTTTACCTAACTTTCTATCTCTGCCTAGGCTGAGCATACAGTAGGTGAGCACATAGTACAATGTGCTGTATATAGTAGATATTTAATAAATGCTTATTCAATGAACAAATCAACAATAATAAAGTATTATCATTAATAATAATAGCCTAGCTAAGTCCAGTCAACAAGCATTTACTATGTGCCAGTCCCTGTGCTAAGCCCTGGTGATACAAAAAAGGCAAAAAACAGTCCTGGCTCTCAAAGTGTCCACTGTCTAATGACAACATGCAAAATACTATGTACAAATGAGATATATACAGGATAAACTGGAGATAATATCAGAGGAAAGGCATCAAAATTAAAGGACTGAGAAAAGTTTCTTGCAGAAATGGGACTTCAGCTGAGGTTTGAAGGATGTCACAAAAGCCAGGAGGTGGAGAGGAGAAGAGAGTTCCAGCCACTGGTCTTTATTGAATTGGAGGAGGTGTGGGTGATGTTGTCATACTTGAACTTTAGGAAGATCCATTTGATATCTGAGTGGAGGTTCGCCTGAAGTGTGAGAGATAGAGGCAGGGAGACCAATCAGAAGGATCAGAAGACCAATCATGGTAGTGCAGGCATGATGTGATGAGGAATGTGGCAATGTCAGAGGATAGAAGGAGTATGCAGTTATCTCTTCCACATTGTGACTTTCCCCATCATGGTTTCAATATACCACGGGTCAGCGTAAGAAATTAAATGGGAATTTTTGGGCAGTTTAGCAGAAGCCGCAGACAACACACAAAGGCCAGCAGATGACACAGAGAGCATGACCAAATGTTAACTCAAATTTTACAATAAAGTACCATAAACACCCAGAGAAAAAAAGAAAAAAGTTCAGACTTCTTCTCTGGTACAAAGGAGGGTCAAAAATTTTTATGTGGATTTTCTAGATCACAGGGCACCATACCCCTAACCCCCGAAATGTGGAAGGGACAATTGTATAAGAAAGATATTGCATAGATAGAAACAAATATACATGGCAAATGATTGGATATGGGAGGCAAGAAAGAGTGAAGAATTGAGAATAACACTAGGTTGTTAGCCTGGGAGGATGGTAGTGACCTCAACAGAGAAATTAAGAAGAAGGGAGGATTTTAAGGAAAAGATAAAGAATTATACTTCGGTCATGTTGAGTTGAAAATGTACAAGGGGCATCCAGTATTGTCTAATAGGTAGATATGAGATATGAAGATATGGACTGGAGATATGAGACTGAAGATCAGAAGACAGGGTAGAGCTAGATAAGTAGATTCGAGAATTATTTGTTTAGAGATGATAATCGAATCCATGGGAGCTGATGAGATCACCAATGAAATAACAGAAAGGAAGGA